GCCGCCATCGCCTCACGGCCCCCCTCCAGGCGGCGGCTCCTCCGCCCCCGAGTCCTCGCCCCGAAGGGGTGCCTTTACCCGAGCGAACGCCTCGGGAATTGTAAGCGGCAAAGCCTTCGAGCTCCCTGTCCAGGGTCGTTTCTTCCTCAGCCCCTCCGCCACGCTCCCTGCCCGCCCTGGGGCGTCGCAGCAGCCCGATTCGGGGTTTGAGGAGAAGATTAGTGGTTTAAAACACATATTTCACCTGCACCGCTTTCCAGCACTGTGACTGGATCTGCCTTGGGTCTTGGCACCTTGTGTTGGTATTATCACGGGTTCTTATGAGTAATGGTGGATGTGAAGTGGCCCTTGCATAGGTTTCCAGGGATGTTATACAGGCGGCAGGTGAAATATTGGTTGGGTTGAACAAAAAAAGGGCTTTATCCCCTGGTGGAGCCTCATGCTGACATGTTGCAGAGACACTCTCCACACAGCGTTTGGCTTTTGCAAGGAAACCTTCAACCTCGGATGAACTCCTTATTTTGCCTCCTCCTTCCCAGCCCTGCGTTCCTCAGCAATCCCCAAGTCAAATAAGGACCCTTAAGCCCAGGTCTTACTCATCCAATTGCCAGCACAGCCTCACCGGCTCCTACACAGGAACCAACTCCATCAAATTATTAAAAAAATTGTTATTTTTTTTGTCAGCCCTCCTGAGCAAGCAGTGAAGCCTCCGGAAAGCTCCAAGCTATAGGGATTGTTGAGAAGCATGGAGAGCAAGCAGGAAATTAAACAAATGCCACAGGAGAAAGTACAACAAGGGAGATGGAGGTGGTCCCATCACACCGGCACAAGATGAAAAACCCATGTCTGGTGGGGAATTTAAGGGATTGTCCCTCAGGTGAGCAGCACAGGGAGAGCCAGGGGCACCAGGAAAAAAAAAAAAAAAGGCGTTTTGCAGAAAAACCCTCGAGGAACCAGTTGTCAAAGGTTACAAAAGCACCAGCACAAAACTGGGGACTGATGGTGGAAGGAGATGAGCTGGGAGGGGGGAGGTGGGGGGGGGGGGGGGGGGGGGGGGGGTGTCAGCAGAGCTGGGAAGGAGGTTTTGGAGGGATGGAAAAAGATGCTCACCGAGGGCAAGAGTGCCTGTGAGGTACTATGAAGGTGTTGGGGGTATCAGGAAGGTGGAGAAGTCATGGGGATGCTGAGCAGCGGGAGGGGATCACAGTTAGGTTTGGGATTGTGGGAATTTCATTAGATTAGTGAAAATGAGTAGGGGATCTCAGGTCAGGGTTAAAGATCATGCATAGATGGAGGAGCTGGGCTCCACCAGGAATGGGGTCAGAGAGACCCAGCTAGTATTGCCATGAGCTTAACATCTACGTGGTGCTGCATTCTTCTTCCACAACCCTGTGGAGCAGCAAAGGCCACCCATCCACCTAAGGGAAGGTGAGCCAGGACCTAAGATGGGCACAACACCTTATCAGCTGGGCGCAGCCCCACACCAGGCAAGTAGAGCATGGTGGTGGCAACAGTAGGGCCCATCAACAGTGCAGGTGTCACCTGGCAAAAGCAAGGCACCAAGATACATCTAAGATCAGTCTGGGAAAGCCTAGGAGCAGATGGACCTAGAGGACAGCTCAGAAAAAAAAAAAAAAAAGTAGTTGCCCAGACCTCAGCTTAAATGGAGCTCCTGGAGCAATGGGACATGGGTGGAGGTCCCAGGTGAGGCTGATTAGGACAATTTAAGCCTGTTGGTGCCCCCAGGCTCCTGACAATCCTCACTCATCCCTTGTTTTTCTTACAGACAGGTGGCAGGACCCCAGTTCAGCACAATAGCACGTGCCAGGCTGCTTCCTCATGATTCTTCTGACTCCAGTGCTGTTGCTCCAGGATGTTGGCCCCTTTCTGTCCACATCACACGGCAAGGAGGGATGTGGAGGAGGATGCCTATATTCCAACCTGCGATGGACCTCTGAGAAGCCATTTTTTGTGTTCAAGTTTTCTTCCGCTTGTCTCAGGGCTGGTGCTGGTCTGCAGGCAGCTTCTGTGATCTTGAGTGGGGTTTCTTGCCTTCCACCGTGCAAATCTCCGAAGCGCCAGCTGTTACCACCGCTTTTCTGACAGCATCATTTGATTCTAGTATCTCTGGGCTTTTTCCTCAAGTAGCTTCACCGTATTAAAATTGCAGGGGAAGAAAAAAACAAAACAAAACACGACAGTTTGTTGCTGTGTTGCTTCGGGCAATGTCAGCAGCATCGGCAGGGCTGCGCGTCCCAGCATGTGAGACTGAAATGCGAAAGTGCCCTGGCCTGAAGCAAATCCTTATTTCAGTTTGAGGGGGGGCGGCGTGTTCACCACACTTATGTAAAAGCGTTGTGATCATAGCTTTCAGTCGAAATATTCAAGCCTTTCTGTGGATTCTGTTGTTGTTGCTATTTTAGGGGACCTGATGTCTCTGGGGGATGACTCAGAGAAGTTCATCTGTAGCTGGCCAGCATTAATCTAGACTAGCAGTCTGATTCAGGAATGCATCTTTATGTAAGAAAACTACTTATGCGTGTGCTTAACTTTGGAGCTTGGCTGAAAGAAACTGGCGTACACACTGTCCTGCATCAGGCATGGAGCAGCAGTAGCCAGAAGCTCTTGATGCTCTTCAGTAGCTCACGATCTGGGAGCGTTTCTCCAGGCTGATACATCCACCTGGGAAGGTTGGCTTCTTCGAGGGTAATTCAGCAAGGAACAAGCAGGGAGTAGATGGGGAGACACAAGGTTCGGAGCTTGCCCTGCCTCCCCACGGCACCCCCGCTCACCCTAACCCGGATCACCAGCCCTGCAGCAGGGACGTACCGGCTCAGAGGCACTTTAATGTCAGTGCGCAGGGTTAAGCTGGGTGCTGGAAACGTCACACTGGCCTGGCCGGGTGATGCCTGTTGCAGAAGTGCCTTTGAACCCCTCTTGTCATCTCTTTGACTGCAAGAGCTGGATGCCAAGTTGCTGGGGGACTCTGTGGAAAACTGAGCTGCACCAGGGCTCTGCCGGATTATCTGCTTACTACCATTAATTGAATTTGGTAGAAATCCAAATTCATTATTCTGCCATAAATTGTTATAAAATCTGGCCGGTGTCACACTTGGGTCTTTCTGGTTGGTTCTCCTTCAGGGCATGAAGGTGGCCTTTGGGCTGTCAGTGCAGTTCCTTGTTCGACAACATTTTTTTAAGGTATAAACCCATTTATTATGCTCCCTAATTCGCTGTAATGTTGGCTGCTTCTGCATTTAATCAGGAGGGCATTTTGCATACAGATTCCTCGGCTGGTGAGAAGCATAGAGCCAGTGAAAGGGGAATGGAGTAAGCCATTCATGGAAACCTTCATAGAGCATGAGTTTTCTGTTTGCATTGCTCTTTGAGCCAAACGTTGTTTAAGCACACTCGCTACTGAATGAGGCCAGCCCCCAGGTCAAGGGACCTGCTGATGGTGTGGCTGGAAGAGGGCTTTGGAAAACACAGATGACCTTCTGGCAATGCCTGCAACTGCCTGCAGACCTCTGACTTGAATTTTGACATCTCAGAAGCTTTCTGTGCTTTCTCTCTCCAC